GAGTCAGGGCCGTGGAGGCCGCGGAGGCCGGACGGAGAAGCGCGGCACGCAGCCCCGCCTGGTGCTGAGAACCATCTTGTTTTCCACGCAGATCCGAAGGGGCAGCACGCGTCTCCCGGGGCGCCCCGTCATCTCCCCTGGGCCGCCGCAGGCTCGGTGAGCTGTTTTTTCCCTCCGGCCGGCAGGCTGGGCGCGCAGGGGCGCGGGCCCCCGCCCCGCGCGCTGTGGCACCATGGGCACGGTGCTGTCCCTGTCCCCCAGCTACCGGAAGGCCACGCTGTTTGAGGATGGCGCGGCCACCGTGGGCCACTACACGGCCGTGCAGAACAGCAAGAACGCCAAGGACAAGAACCTGAAGCGGCACTCCATCATCTCCGTGCTGCCTTGGAAGAGGATCGTGGCCGTGTCGGCCAAGAAGAAGAATTCCAAGAAGGTGCAGCCCAACAGCAGCTATCAGAACAACATCACGCACCTCAACAATGAGAACCTGAAGAAGTCGCTGTCGTGCGCCAACCTGTCCACGTTCGCCCAGCCCCCACCGGCCCAGCCGCCTGCGCCCCCTGCTAGCCAGCTGTCGGGCTCCCAGACAGGGGTCTCCTCCTCCGTCAAGAAGGCCCCGCACCCTGCTGTCACCTCCGCGGGGACGCCCAAACGGGTCATCGTTCAGGCGTCCACCAGTGAGCTGCTGCGCTGCCTGGGCGAGTTTCTCTGCCGCCGGTGCTACCGCCTGAAGCACCTGTCCCCTACGGACCCTGTGCTCTGGCTGCGCAGCGTGGACCGCTCTCTGCTGCTGCAGGGCTGGCAGGACCAGGGCTTCATCACGCCGGCCAACGTGGTCTTCCTCTATATGCTGTGCAGGGATGTCATCTCCTCCGAGGTGGGCTCTGACCATGAGCTCCAGGCGGTCCTGCTCACCTGCCTGTACCTCTCCTACTCGTACATGGGCAATGAGATCTCCTACCCGCTCAAGCCCTTCCTGGTGGAGAGCTGCAAGGAGGCCTTTTGGGACCGCTGCCTCTCCGTCATCAACCTCATGAGCTCCAAGATGCTGCAGATCAACGCCGACCCACACTACTTCACACAGGTGTTCTCCGACCTGAAGAATGAGAGTGGCCAGGAGGACAAGAAACGGCTCCTCCTAGGGCTGGATCGGTGAGCCCTGTGGCCTGCGCCATGGTCAAGGATTCCATTCATTTTTAAAAAATTTATTATTAAACCAATCAGATTTTGTGTACAGTATGTGTCTAGCAAAGCCACCAAGGGCCTCTCCCTTCCCACCTTCTCTTCTGGGGATTTTCTTTGGCCCTGCCAAGAATTCTGGGCACTTCTGAACTCCCAACCGAACCGTGTGCAAAACCCAGAAGATGTGTTCAGAGCCACCCTGGCCACCAACCTCTCACTCTGGGGAATTCGAGGACTGACCTGCCCCTGCCACCTGTGCCCTTGCTGGACCCAGGGCAGGCGAAGCTGCCATTGCTCCTGCTTGGGGTGCTGGAGAGGGGCCTTTGGTCAGTTGACCCAGGGAAGAATCGGTATTTCTGGCTGGGGACCCTTTCCTGGCTCCTATTTTGGGCCGCCCACTGTCCCAGAGGGCCCTGGAACCGGCCACCCTGACTGAGCTGCTTGTGGGGTTGCCAGGCAAGATGGCCGCTCCCCTCAGACAACCTCTTCAGCATAGAAGAAGCTGGGCTGGTGCAAAGACTGTCCTGTCCTTTGACCATGCTCGACCCTGGTTTGCTGTTTTTTTTCTGTTTTAGGGAGCAGGGCTTTCCTTTAGCGGAGAGGTGGAACTGCTCCCTGGCCCCCTGACCCCTCGCTCACCAGCTGTGTTGCAAGTGTAGGTTAATGAGCTGGTTTGACTCATTAAATTCTTTCATTTTGGGTCTCAGCTAAGGGAGTGGGGTTGAAGCTGGCGACAGACAGCTCCTTTCCTGGGTGAACTTGTCATTTGAATAATGCCGCTTAGTCACCCTGGGGGAAGGCCAGAACAGCTGCAGGTGCCCTTTATCAGCAGCCTGCCTCTGGGCGGGTGGAGGGTGCCGTTCCTGAGACTGAGATGGGGCCCGCCTCGGCGCCAAGGCCCCTGGATGGCGCACACGGCGTTTGTCCTGCAGAGCTGGGGGGCGGTGATGTCGGGGGTCAGGGTGATGTGGTAATGATGTACCCACCCCACCCCTGTTCATTTAAAACTGTTGGCAAACAGTTGAGTTTCTTCTGAAGATGAAGCCTTGCCCCTCGCCCCGCAAGGCCCAGTGAGACGGCTGCATCTTCGGAGACGATTGCCAGCAGCAGTGGAACTCCTGATTGCCCTGGAAGCCTATTCTACAACTGATCATTTGCAGCTGCTGGTTTGGGTTTCCACCTCACCCTTGTGACTGACGTGTACTTATTTTTCTTTCTGATTCTACCAGATGGGTGGCTTGGGACTTGGGAGAAGATCAAGAGAAGGGAATGAGTCTTATTCTCTGGCCCATAGCTTCGGTTTTGGGGAAAACAAAGACCAATGTGAAGAAGCTCCAGAGAATTCCTTCTCTAGTCCCATCTCACGGTGCTTGCTGGTATGGGAGCCTGGGGGGTGGGGGTGGGGGTGGGGAGCAAGGGTCCTTTTACATGGGATTAGGTTCTCGGTGGCCACCAATTTCAGCACAAGCACTACTGAAACTCACATAAAGAAGAGAAAGCTGTGAAACTGAGGTTCCGGCCGGAGAGGCCCAGCTGTTCCCAGATAAGGGGAAGAGGCCCCGCCGTGGCTGGAGAGCATTTGCTCCCGCTGGGCCTGGAGGAGGCGCAGGAGCCGAAGCTGAGCCTGACCATAGTCTGGCGCGGAGCTGGGAGGAAGCTACGGCTACTGGCACAGACCTCACTGCGGCGCCTCTTCTCGGCTCCAGTTGGCACACAGCTGGTCAGTTCAGACCCTGCTGCCACACGTGACTTGAGGTAGGAGGCCCGTGGGGGCTGCGGACCCCTCGGCGTGAGAGCGGGAGGTGCGGGTGCCGTCCTCAGAGGAGGGGCGCGTGTCCGTGGTCACGTGTTGGGCTGGTTGAACTCGGCCTGAAACTGCCGTTCAGTTGCATCCATAGGATTCCAGTTTTGTGTGTTTCCTTCTCTTTCTCCATATTTATTTTTTTATTTTGTGGAGGAGGTGCAAATTGCAGGAGTGGTCAGGGACTAAGGACACAACTCTTTAGTCCCATCAGTGTGAAGCCTGTGGCGCCTCCTCCCTCCCCTCGCACTGGCCATCAGTATTGTGTAAAGGAACAACTGATATACTTGAGTGTGCAAGCAATGAACCCATTTGACATGCTGCTATGAAGACTACTTCTAGAACAATTAAGAGAAAAAAAAAAAAAAGAAAAACTAACCTACAAAAAAAAACCCTTTATTCTTTAATTGTTGCTTTTACAGTGATATTGTGCATGCAAACCAGGAGCATTTTGTGTCTTAAGAAAAATAATCTTAGAACAGATGGCTGTGAAAATTACACCCGTGCACAGAACATGTCACAGGAATATAGTTCAGGATTTGGTTTTTCTCTTTTTCTTGTAAACCTGAAGGGTTGATATATTCTTTCCTTGCAGTTACTAGAACTTAGTTTTGTTCCAACAGTTGTTAAACTTGCAATGAAAAGAAAATGTGCCATTTTTTTCACTCAGAATTATTCATAGCTGTATATTTGAAACTGCTAATTACACATGTGCAGTGTATGTTGGTTTTTTAGTGCAATTTCTTCTGTAGTTATTCTTTGACCAAATTGTGGGTATTGTTAATATTAATTTATATTTGTCTCATTTTGTATGTATGTGTAGTGTGTTTGTAGGTATGTGTGGTTTATAATCTGACAAGGTCATGAAGCTCAGTTTGGCTGTAATTTAATTCCCTTTCCCTTATTTTTATTTATTTTTGTACTGTGCTGATTAAATAAAATGCACTGACCATCCATTACATGGACCTCTTTTTGTGGGCATGTCATTCATGAACAAGCCAGGAGCCCCTTTTATAAATGATTCCTGCACTTAGAACATAATTGGATTCGAGTTGTGGGGGAGGGGAAGGGACCTGGGAGTGGGGAGGAGGGCAGGGATGGGGATAGGGCTTAAAGCTTTAGTAGGCTGAGGCGGTTAGTGGGGAGGCACAGGTAAAGTCAACTCCTGGTGTGGCTGCTGGGCAGGGCCTGGAGTTGCTCCCCAGAGGCTCCTTTGGGTGGGTACAGACTGGCACTGTAAGCACAGGTGGTCCGGTGAGGTCTGGGCACTGTAGGTCCTGCAGGGACACCAGGCCTGTGCCTGTGTGTGGTGTCCTCTGTCTGGTTCTGCTCAGCACTCACTGCCCCCAGGCTCCTAGGCCAGCAGGTGGGCTTTGCCTGCCACCTTACCTCTGTTTCTGGAAGAGAGGAAGTCTAGTCCTGGGCGCTCTCGGGTAAGCAGCCACTGAAGCCGTAATTGTGAGCGAACTGGTGGGGAAATGGCACCCAGTGGCTGCCTAGGCCCTTGAGTGCTGGGGTACGCCTAGCTTCCTGGTGCAGCCCCCCCCCCCCCCCCCCCCCCCCCCGCAATCCCGATTCCTTTGCTTATTCTCCTGCCACCCCATCTGTCCCCCAAGCAGCCAGCCTGGGGAGAGACTGATGGGCCGGCCTTGCTCGCTCAGACCCCTCGCCAGGCTGCAGCCACAGACCCGCATCTGTCTTTATAAATACATGCTTTGATTTCAGGAAACATGAAAGCCACGCGCTGCTCCATTCAGCACACAGGCCTCAAATGGAAGAAAGTGTTTGGGTTCAACGCCACTGCCTTTCCCCTCACTATTCCTTCCCACAGCCCTCTTCTGGCTCAGTATTCAGTGTTTTTGTTCCGAAGCCTCACCAAAACGATCCTCCATTTTACAGCGTTTGTGCTTAGTGCTACCGCCCATGCTCTGGTAGCAGTTGACTTCTACAAGTGACATCTCACAACGAGAGGTACCGCTTTCATTACAGAGAAGCAGAACACTTTTAAAAGTAAGATTTAATGCTTTATTGCTCTTGATGGCAAATCAAAATATGCTTTAGAAATAAAGTTAATTTAATGGAAAATAGGAATATATGCACCAAACCATACAACTACACATTAAATCAAGAGAAACACTTCATTGTATACAATCACTGTGTCCTCTGGCTTGTCCCTCGGCACCCTGATACCATCACCATCATCACACCCACAATTTCTGATCCTTCTTCGGCCGCCGCTGCACACTGACTTCTTTTAGAACATCGCGACAAGTGTGCTGTTGACAGCTGACCCCCGACCTTCATCGGGTGGGCCCTGGCGCCGGGCTGAGGCCCACAGCATCCCCCGTCTCTGAAAGGCACTCATTTGGCATGTTCTGTCTTGGTGTCTAAACATACTTTTGCATGTGTCTAGCATAAAGCAACACGTCTGAGGAGATTAGTAGAAGGGACAGGAGATGTTCCAGTTAGATGGCTCAACTAGTGTCTATCGGCAATTGGCGAGACGGCGAGTGTTGCTACACGGGGCAGGTGGCACCGGTGGGCCTTGCGGGCGGCTGACCTGGCTCTGGAAACGAGAATGGGTTTCCAAAGACATAATGCCAGTAAGATTCACTGTTGCAAATTGCACACGGTGCAAATGTCTGCAAGCCCTGGGAAGCGGGGGCAAAAGGAGAGCATGAGACCCGGCTGCTGGGGGCCACCTGGCCATCAGCCTGGTGACCAGGTCAGGCCCTGGGCGAGGCTCAGGAGTTGTGTTCAGGCATTTGGTGTGTTCCGCACGTCCGGGTAGCAGGGTGGGAGTGTGGGGGGTTGAGCATCTGTGGCAGAAAGTGAAGAAAACTTCAGTGTCTGCCTCCTTTACACCTGCCAGTCTCCTCCTGAGATGTGGGCTCACTTTCAGCTCCCCACCAGTCTTTTCTTCTTTTAAGGCTTTTCCTGGCAGGGAGGCCTGGGCTGCCCAGGGGTTTATGAGTCCTCAGCTGAGGGGCAAGACGGGGTGGTCTCAGGAAGCACCTGAAGCGCATGTGCTTTCTGCTGGGCAGAAACTGGCAAGACAGCAGTTCCCTCCTGGCATGAGGTCTGTGCGCTTGGCAGCCTGGGGCCCAGGCTGCAGCAGGGGTCTGTGGTGGGGGCATCCTGGCCTGGCCTGCAGCGCCAGAATCCCCGAGCTCAGTTTTCTATCGTTCTGCTTCCCAAGTTGCTCTGTGGCCCCCTGCCCTGCAGTCCTAGTTCTCCAGGTGAGTTTGAAATAGAGATGTTGGAAGGGGAAAACTTTCAAGCCCTGAGCGCTCCCCTCACCTCTGCAACTCCATTTTCTTATTAGTGTTCCTTTGCCAGGGGGGCCACAGCAGATGATAAAGCATCTGAGTAGCAGCCCTGCAAGCCACAAAGCTTGAGTGTGAGACCACCTGGGCACGGGCTGCACCGTTAGGAAAGACGGTCCCGGAAACATCCCTGCGTGCGTCCCCAGAGGTGGCCTGAGGCCCAAGCAGGGCAGGCACCAGGAAGGGCACACTGCCGGCTGGGTGTGGCTATTCTGCTGCCTACTGGCTTTTGAGCTGAGGGAGGGGCTGGCCTGACAGGTGCATCTGCTTACCTGGAGGCTTTGGCTGGCTGACAGGGGAAGGGTGCTGACAAGGAGCTCTGAAGAACCCCCAGAGTCAGGAGGGGGGATGGGATCTAATTTGGGGAAGAAGTGACTGGATTCAGAGCTATATCCCAGCTCATCTCCCCTAATTCTCCCCTGCCCCTGCTCCCACCCCAGGGAGCATGTCTTTGGTTGGGTGAACTTTCCTGGGCTTCCCAGCCCCACCCTTTGCAGAATCAGCAGCTGCTCCCTGGGTCAAGGTGTGCTAACTTGAGCTGACTTCCCTGATGGAAGGTGCCATCCAGGTGCCCGAGGTTTGATGTGGGCTGGATGGCCTCCCAGCGGCAGGGGGCAGAACATGGGGTCTTTGGTTTGCTGAGTGGGGACCGTGAAAAGTCAGGACAGAGGAAGATGGAGACCGAAGGCAAAAAGTCAGAAGAACCCTCAGGGCGGCTGAGGGGCCGCATGGAAGGCAGAGGGGGCTCCTTCCCTAGCATGGCCCCCCGAGCTGATTTCTAGCGGGGTGGTGGCAGGGATTCAGCAATTAGTGGAACCAACAATGCTGAGTGTCGGGGCGCCCGACCTGGGTCAGCGCTCAAGCTCCGCGGCCCTCTGGCTCCAGGAGGCCTCGCCCGCAGGCCTCAGTTCCCAGGCACGCTGAGGATGAAGCCTGAGCGGTTCTTGGTGAAGTCAGGCTCTGGCTGGTTGAGTCGCGTCTCCACGGAGACGGTGCATTTCTTCCCATGCAGGCTGCACTGTACAGGGTTGGTGACGTTCACTTGGAGGTGGCGCTTCTCACTGGAAGAACCAAAAAGAAAGAGACCAGACAGGCAGTCAGCAGATGGCCAGAATGGGTGAGTTTCCCGGGCAACACCCAGCCCACCGGCACCCAGCTGAGGCGAACTGTCAGATTCTGGACTCAGCATTTCTTCACAGGTGCCTGGTGGGGGGACAGAGGGGCCATGGGCACAGAAGGCCTCAGAAGAAGGTGTGAGAAGCCTCAGGAGAGGATGAGGGCAGGAAAGACTGGCCGTAGAAAGCCATCAAAGTGCAAAAGAACTGAGGGGCTGGCGTTTGGCCCCTTGCGAGAACCCGGCATTGAGAGTGGAACTGGAGGCTGGAGATGTGGGGGGACCTGAAGCCACTGAGTGCGTAGTCTGAGGCTGAGGGCCAAGCACCCCCTGAAGCTTTAGATGTCAGTGGGGGGATTCTCCTGGGGTGGGCTTGTTACCATCAGCTATCTTTGGTTGTAACATGGAGCTTTAGGAGGCTCTTTGTCCTGAGATAAAGGGAGATACTTCCCCAAACATGCCCCCTGACCAGGAAAATGTCATCTTCTTGGGTCCTGGCTGGCTCTGGCCCATCCTGGGGTCCAGCTGCTAGAACTGGGTCTGACTCCAGTTTTCAAAGGCCTGGTGCTGGCTCCTCTCATTCTGAGAGCTGGGTGTTGCTGGGCTTTGCCCTGAGGCTGCTCTGCTGCTGTACATATGTCTACTTTTGTATGCACTTGAAGACCTGAGCAGACTTCCCATTCCCTGAGGGGGTCTCTGCCCAGGCCTTTCTGCTGCATGGGGGCCATGCTGAGGAGGCCCGGAGTGGTGCATGGGTGGGCGTGTATACCTACTGAGCAGAAGGCAGAACCCTGCCCTCCAGCTCCTCATGCCACACTGAACACCCTGCAGAAACTCCTGCTTACTTTAAGAGCCGAGAAACTTGTTTCAACAGGGGCTGGCACCTTGCCTCTGCTCACACATGCTGGCCACAGCCCCAACGCTGCACCTTGTCGGCTGTCTTAGAGCAAAGAGAGAGAGGAGAATGGCCAGTCAGCCTGGCTCCAGCCAGGATGGCTGGTTCTGCTTCCCATGCCAATGGAAGCCTTTGCTGCTCTCAAAGAGGCGTCTCGGCCTGGACAGGCTGGGCCCCTTGAATGCTGGGTGCCTGGACTAACGTTGCTCTTTGTATTGAACAAGCAAAGACACAAGTGCCCACACTGCTCTTGCCCAGCCAGGACAAGAGCTTTCACAGAGCCAAGGGGAACGTGAGGTACATTGGAGGCACCAGAGGGCCGGAGGACCCAGCCACTCGGGCACCAGCCATCCTGGCCCGCTGGGCAGCATTCAGGCGGGGCACGGCCAGAAGGGCTGTGTGTGCAGTGGCTCCCTGGGCCCTGTGCTGGAACACGTCACCTTTTGGCACATCGTCCTCACTGGAGGATGCCCAGCGGGCATAGCCCGGGGTAGGCCCCAGAGCCCCTGAAGTGCTCTGAGGTGTTCCGAAGGGCTCTCACGTTGCTTCACAATCTACTTACTCACTGAACATATTGTAAGGCAGAAAGTAGACACAGGAAAGGACCTGTGGTCATCACTCATGTGGACAGTAGGTATCTAATGCTTAATGTCGTGGCAGCCACAGCTAAAACCTTGGCTTAGACAGCTATTTATAACCAGGCTTGGACATAAAAATAGCAGAGCCCATCAGAGGCAATGACTCAGGTCCTTCTTCAATCCCGCGGGAGCCCGGGCTGCCTTGTGGGGTAGACGCATGGCCCATGGCTGGGGTCTGCTTGTGACGCTGCAGGGCCTCAACCCGGCCAACGGCCCCCTGGCGCGGCAAAGCCCTGGCAGTGTGCCCTGCCTGCTGCAGACACGTGGCTGGAGCCTATCTGTCTCCTGCCAACTCGAGCTTGCGAGGCCTTCCTGCCTCCCTGTCAACCTGGCACCACCTCTAGGTCCTCCCTGGCACTCATGTCTTGTGGAATACTCCTGGGGAGGAGGTGGCCCCTGAACCTTGCCTCTTGGTGGGTGTGTGTCCCCCCCTCAGGGCACTTCTGGGGACAGATTGCCCCCTGTCCTCAGGGAGCCCAGACAGTTGTTCCCACATGGTGGGTTCTCCATCACATGAGGGCTCAAAGCCTCAGGGACAGGCTCTCAAAGGCCTCCAATTGATGTCAGCCTGAAAAAACTGATGGGGAAAAAGAGTGAGGTGTCAACAGCCCCCCCGCCCCCCCGCCATGTTCATTCAGCTGGAACACACTATTCCCATAGGTCCCTATCACGGGGCTCAGTGTGCCTCCCCACCCCACCCTTCCTCCTCTTGGGCTCTCATCAGCTAGAGGCACCATCTTGGTGCAGTGTTACGGTCAGTGGGAAGTGAAGAGGAGCAGATGGTTATTATGGAATGGCACCCCAGGATTTGAAAAGAGTCCTTGGGGTTTCAGGGTCAAAAAAGCAGCAGAGAACTACTCACTGCTCCAGTGGCTTGTTGCCACACTCAGCCATGGCAGCATCTCTGCCAGCCTTGCTGGGTGCTGGTGAGCAACTTGGGGTAGTACTGGGGGGTGGGGGAGAGGGAGGGGAGGAAGTCTCCCCAGGAGATGGTGAAGGGGTTGGAGGAGGGGCAGGCCTTTTCCTCAGGGAGCAGAGCCGGGCTCTGGGAGATCCAAGCAAATAATACAGAAGTAACTACAGTGATGCAGACAGTGAGCTGGCCCCTCCTGACCAGACTACCACCCTACTGGAAAGAAGCTTCTCTGAGAGGCACAGATGGTTCTGATGGATGGGGGAGACCAGCTATAGGCCCCTTCCTCTTCCTGCCCACCTCCCCATGCCAGTTGAGCGGCTGCTTAGCTCCCACCCTGGTGACCCATGTGCCTCAAGTTTGGGGTGGTTGGCCAAGCACCATCCCTTCCCCAGGCCCAGGCCATGGGAGGACCCTGGCTTGGCAGGTGGCAGGGACACCAGTGTACAGAGCGTGCTCAGAGCCTCTCAGTGCCTTCCCGCAGCCTGGCCCTCCCCTGGCATCTATCCCAATTCCCTGTGACACCCCTCAAGCAAAGACAATCAGCCTAAAACACTGGCAAAGGCAAGGCGAGTTCCGTGGGGTTCCCTCACACTGCTCCTTGGAGCTCTGCTCAGCTCTTCTAAGCCCCTCTGAGAACTTTTCCTGATTCCTCTCAGGTATGAATCTAAGAGCAGGACCTGGCAGCGGAGGGTCCGAACGCCTCTAAGAGCCTTGTGACTGTGCCCATATCACTCAAGCTTCTGGGAGTCTGTCTTGGGCAACTAGCAAGTGTTTCTTGGCCCGCTTTCTGAATGAAGGTAAGTGGATACAGTAATTTCACAGAGCCCTCACGCGTTGTGTACAGACTCTAGGCCAGGCCCTGCACTGGGCACTGAAAATGTAGGAAGTGACTCTGTAATCAGGGGAGACCCCTGGCTAGCTGCCTGCCTTCTGGAGCTTGCAGGCTGGTGGGAGATCTGTGTGGGCCCTTTGACCATGTGGACCACTGCACGAGAAGAACATACACTATTGTCTCCCCTTCCTGAAGGATTTCAGTCCTAGTTAAATGCTAAGGAACCCCCCCCCACACACACAAAAGAGATAGCTCATATTTAGGGTCTTTACACATCTTTAGAATAGTTCAAAAACCCATATGAACTCCTGTATTGAATATTCCTTTGTGCCATCTACCATTCTGCATAACCCAAATCCTGCCAGCTTCATGGTGCTGGTCTCCATTTCCAGACCTCAAAAGTCCCCCATCACCCTCTCCTCTAACCCTTGGCAGTCACTCAGCTCTGTCTGCAGAGCACTGAGCAGCTCACAGATGGAGAGACAGGCTCTGCGGCCTTTTGGGGCTGGCTTCTTCCACTCAGCTGTGCGTTTGAGCTTCATTCATTTTCCTTTGAGTGATGTAAATATTCTGGAACTTGAGAGTCATGATGGTAGCACAACACTGGGAAGGTGCCAGACATGACCGATGGCACGTTTTATGTTCCATGTATTTTACTTCAACAATGATAATTAAAAACTGGATTGATTTAAAGAAAAAATAAGGACTTGCCCTCGAACCGTGTTTTCTCTCTCAGTTTCAAGTTCAACCCCAAGTGGCTTTAAGACCAGCGAGCGGTTTCTTCTGGTGCTTATTGTGGAGCGAGACGGTAGCAGGGCCCTTTGGCTGAGAGTGGGTATTGTGGGGGGGAGGGGCCAAGTGACAGCTCTGGGTGTACCCCGCCCCTCTGGGACTCTCCCTGGGGCTGGAGCATCTTCCTTGTTTTTTAGAGAAAGGAAGCAGGTTTTCTGGACAGAGGCAGGGCACTCCCTCTGATGGGGAGCCAAATGACAGCTGCCGGTGGGGGCTGGCTGCCAGGGGGAGATTTTTTTCCCTCATCTTCTGTTACAGGATTTAATGGCTCAGCAAACTGTGGAATTCGGGGACTTTCATCTTGTTTCATCTGTTCCAAGCCATCACTGCAGGCAAATGGCCTTTATCAAATTACTTTCCTTCATTTTTCATTTAGACGCCTGTCCTCTGCTCATTAGAGAAATCCTTGGGTAAAAGGCAAGGCCCAGTCAATGTAAGGAGGACACATGTTCCCTGGGTTCCTTGTAAAAGGGGGGCTGGGGCAGCCCAGACAACATCCCTCCTGCCAGACCCCTTGGGTCAGCTGCGACCCAAGACCTCGTCTCTAGGAGAGCAGGGTGTGAGGAAACCAGTGAGCAGCTCTCCTCTCAAGGGCCTCCCCTTCCGCAGCTTTAACAGACACGCTTTAAAGGAAGCCAGAGTCCACGAGGTTCTCTGGGGGTGTGGGGTTCAGGCAACAGGAGGCTGCTGCCCTGAGGTGCTCTGGGGCGGGCTTGCTCACAGGATGTGGTGGGAGGACTGATGGCTTGCACCAAGCACAGGCAGGTAGGAAGCAGGTGCTCTCGAAGTGCTGAGAAGTGTAGTGAGAGCTCACGAGCAGCCCAGGGGCACCAGGACAGGCTGTGTGTGGCACGTGGGGGCTGGGCTCTGACGG